TGGGAGGAACAAAAGGACGAGACTGGCACCTCCCTGAGGAATTCACACTGTTGTGGCTGGAGGGCTTTGGGGGGTGGGGGTTTTGTTTGGGGAGATTTTTGCTAGAGGGTGTTGGTTATAAAAAAAGCTGGACTGAATTGGCATGGTCTCTTGGAGTTCCTTGGGCTAGGCCTGACATTCCCCATTGTATTGTTCCTGGCTGAATACTATCATTTCTCTCCCCTCACTCTACCCAGCTGAAGAAATCTAGTAAGGAGCCCAATCCTGTGGTCCAGCTATCCATTCAAGATGTCACTCGGGAGAGCCGGGTAAGGGTGTTTAGTTTTTTTTCTGGTCTCCTTCCATTTGTAGCTGTTTGATGTGTGTGGAAATACTGGTAGTATAGTGTAGGTTTGTGAGGGGAGATGCATTTTGTCCCATTTTTTCCATATTATAACATCTCATACAAACAGCACATAGGTGGAGAAACTGATTCTGGCTCCCATCTTCCTTTCTGCTATCTGAATTCAGAATGGTTGCCAGCTTGCCACAGAGCTTAGACAGGTCTGAAATTTAGCATGCGGTCTCGGTGCCAGGTTTCTCTCTCCTCTCTTTCAGATCGTGATAGCAAAGCAGGACAAAGGATGAGTGAGAGCTAGAGGCTAAATCCCGTTGAAGTTTGAAAGAACTGGTAGTATTTGGCTTTGAGAAGACTGAGGAAAGAAGGATATGATAATGCTATTCAGATGCCTGAAATGAAGAAGGTCAAGACCTGCTCCTAATCTGAATCCTGGGATGCAGGACATAAAACAAGGGTCTGAATTACAGATAGGGAGATGCCAGCTGAACGTTAGAAAAAACGTTCTAGCAGAGAAAGCGGTTTGCCAGGAGATCCAGTTCCCCAGAGAGGTGTAGGGCTGCCCTTCACTGGATGTCTTCAGATGGAGACTAGATAGCCAACTGGCAGGGATGCTTTAATTTAGACTTCTGCACAAAGCAGGAAGCTGGTCTCAGTGGCCCCTCTGAATTCTATGATTCTGTTCTATCAATAGAAACAATGCTGTTTCTAACTCTGCCTGTAGAGGGCAGTAGTAGTCCACTCTAATTTTTCTCCCAGTGCCACATTGTAATCTCTCTCCTTCCTTCCTTCCTTCCTTCCTTCCTTCCTTCCTTCCTTCCTTCCTTCCTTCCTTCCTTCCT